ACCCATAAATCTTCACCGATCTTTGTTTCAAAGGATAGAACTCGTCGCGGACTACCGTTTCGTGTAGGCAACGTGGAGTATCTTCGAAGATTGCGGGTAGTTGTCCGCGTGTATGTGGAATCCGTGACGTGAGCTCTTCAACGGCGACTGACAGGATTTCAGAAGTTATACAGATCAATTTAGCTTGCGGAGAGCACGCGGTTGATATGCAGATCAACGGTGTAGGATAGAATAGATCCAAGAAAACTGTTCCAAAGGCGGAGCGCCAGAAAATGCAGCCGTACGGTAGTGTTGGCTGGTAGTGTTGTTGACATTCTTTCTTGCCAGTGCCTCTCCATTTATGACAAACATCTTGTGCCTGGTGTGCAAGGTTTAACTGCGTTAGCACTTGCCGCACCTTGCATAGCATTATACACTGTTTGCCCTTCCTTCTTTCGGTGGTCTTTACAAGTGCATTTCCATGCAAGACATACAACTTAGAGCTCAATACGCCTGACTGGAAAATTTTGATGGTACACCTTGGTCTGCAAAATTTACCGTTTCTATATTCTTCTCCACATTCTTCCACATCTGTCGTTTGCAGTTCTTTGTGATCACGCAGTTCAAAAATAAATGATGACACGATGGCTCCACTACAACGGCGCCATATTTTTGTTTCTCCTTGAGTTCCACGTAAAAAGAGATTTTCCAAAGAAGTGAATGTCTTTCGAGAAATTTCAATCTAAAATACACTGCAGTATTTCGGAGACAAAACAAATTCTATTCTGAACAGAAAGCTAAAACCGATGGTTCGAAGTGCACTACTGTCATAGACCATTGTCGTCAATCTTTCACAAACTATGATAATGGTTTGAAAAACCATTATGCCATTTTTGGTCAACTAGGTGTGGATATCATTCTAGTAGTAACAAGAACTGCGAACCTATGGAGGCAATTTCACACCTTACGTGAGCTGATAGGAAGTCAGGCTTACTCAAAGTTGGATCAGTTTGACGCAGCGACAACCAGAAATCACTTAGTGCTTTCTAAACATCTGTGGTTAGTAATGTTAGTGATGATGTCTTGTTACTCGTGCGATTCCTCTGTTGAAAACTCTGCTCCAGTCACAGGAGTTCATGTTTACACTCCATAAGTCACACATCCAGGAAAGCTGGGGTTTACATACTAGATGATTGCGCGTATTTACCAAACAAACCTTTTTTCGGTAATTTCATAGTCCATATAATAACCGTTTGTAAGCACCTTGACTTGTTTGCTTTAATAATCAAACAAACTTTGTTACATAGAAGCAATAAAATTTCTACATTTTCTAGGATAACGGCCCACAAATGACGACAGTTAGGTTCATATAAGTTTCCCGATTTGGCCCCAGTAAATTTCCCTATCGTTTACAATTCAACAATAACGCTTGTTACATTAAACAGGAACAGCTCATTTGTGGTGGCAGTAATGGAACCAGTATCGATTTTATTAACCGTGATAGACATTCTTCCTCAGTTGTGATTGCGAGACTAGTAGAATTCACATTCACATCCATCTCGTTTGAACTGTCCCCAGTCTTCGCGCTCGTATAGTACTGGTAACACACTTGCCGCGCATGTCAGATATCTGCAGTTCAGATCCCGGCACGATCAATGATATGCATTGCTTATGAGATCTTATACGAGTGGAATTCAAATCCCTTCCTTGGTGTGAACTCAGCAAGATGAAGACTGTTCAAACGGGTGATGCGAACGTGATTGCATCTATATTTGTTGCAACAACGACTTTTCCGTTCATTTGAAAACGATTGAAAGACTAATCCACGGCACCGATGAACGTTCCGGATTTCACAACTACGGTCTTCCGGAGAAATTTCGAAGCCAATATTGTTTAAATCAACCATACTTATCTATTTAGTAACATTCCTTTACACTCCTATGGAAGTCTGCAATACTACTGGAATGTTAGTCTGAAACCTAAGATCACTGTCCAATACAGTTATCGGAATACAGTCATGGCAACTGTGAAGTATTTCTCAAAATTGTTATAATCTCATCATCTCTTGTATTGGTATGTGCGCTGCTACTCGCGGACAGACGAAACGGAGGCAATCAGTCTTTCAACAGAAGTACGCGCTGATCAGTTGGTGATGACAGAAAAGCTTCTTACACTAGTGATCATCATCATCCTCTAAGACAGCAACATCAGTGTTGACACTGATGCTTCACTGCCGTACAACCATGAGGTACGTCTAAGTATCTTTAAAGCCCTATAGGGAAAAGAAGGGAAAAAGAGTGGGTGACGGAGGGGACCTCATGCTGGCCTGTGTCAAGCAATCTGAGGTCCTTACACCTCCAAGCACTCAACCAGACAATCTGAAAAGAAACTAAGAGCACGAACGCCACTGACATCAAATAGCCGTCATTTCTTGCAACGTCCCAAGTCACTCAGGCTAGTGACCAGAATTGTGTCAATGAACGAGTGGAGTGATGTGGTGCTAATCATTTAGATGGTTGTAAGTGGTTGTAAGTGTTAGCAGAAATGGGTCAATGGATCTGGTAACCACTAGTGATAGCCAAGGTTGAAAAATGTCGTATCTATATTTTCCTACTACTAACCAATGCTTCTTGATGGATCGACAAAAAACCTGATAAACTACTATATATTAGCTAGTATCAAAGAACAGGAATTTGTAATACTCAGCGTGAGCAGCCATTTAGATTTAAGCATCCAAGCAACATTCAGCTGGAAAAGACGAAAATGAAATGCTAACCACTTATAACTGAAGACACACTGTATCATAGTTTAAGTTTGTTAAAATTATCACCAAATGTCACTTCTAGGTGACCGAAGGCAAGATGTTAATAAATGGAATAGCAGTTTTGTATAAGTTAGCAAGTTATGTGTTTGTACTTGTCGACCGAGTTTAACAGGGAGTACATCACGTAGAGCGTACAGAAAAAATCACAGAGTGGAGTTCAGTGGTAACTATTTGTGACGAAAAACGAAGAATGGATATTGGATTTGTTGGTGTCGCACACTATCTGGTACAGATATGTAGTAAATAAGCACGCTTGATGCAAGCGGGTGATAAGGATGCTTAACACACGCAATTCCAAAATAACATGGGTAGCCCATGCCAAAGCCCATGCTCAAAGTTCCCTGGCTTAGGCGACGCATACACCTGAAGCAAATAATTGCGCTGCCTTTGTGGAAAACACCACATATACAAGGGACTGTTAGCAGTAGTTTATTAGAGATGCAGCTTTTCTGTCTCCGAGGAGCTTTTGCAAAGGATAAATAAACTAAGTGATAAACAATCTTTACTAAAACTTCGGTAATGTGTGACAGGACCTTCAGGTATACCTGATATCTTACCGTTTCTTGACACCGTTGCTGGTGTTGCATTGTCGATGTTATCTACTTCAAACATAATTTTGCAATTAGTTGCCATCGGGATTCGATCACCGTTGGCCAGTGTTAGCAGCTTGCTGTCATCTAAGACGGAGTTTAGATTCTCTATCCACAGAGCATCCACTGGTCCGTCTAGCACTAACCACACATGTTCGCCCTTCTTTGATTTGAGTGTACGGCGCCAGAGTGCAGAAAATATCCCATCCGTCCAATCGTTTGTAGCCACATCCAGTTTCCCAAACATCTGAGCCGATGTTATAGCTTTCGGGTTCATACGCATCTCACGACGGGGTTCGAAACACTCCGACATCGCCTGAAATAAAGTTGCATGAAAACAATAAAACAGATGCATATTTCAGTTTTGATACAGTTGAAGACGGAGGCTGAACAGATTTGCCTAGGGTCCAGTTCAATGAAGTCAACTGGTTGTCTTCTTTCTCTTCATTCACATTATCGAAAGAGTGACACTATTGAAGAACCCCACTCAACCCTGCACTGACGATGTCACCTCGATTGGTGATGAAACGTTTGCAATCCAACTACCAAACTCGGCGAAGAGACCAACAACCAAACTATTGGAGAACACTTGATCTGCACTGCATCAGCCAAAAAAATTTCCACCACTTTACCAATGTCGGAACCACCTTGAAGCTGCTCTATTTGCATATTCAACAGGAGTCCATTGCTCGTTCTTACAAAGAAATCTGGCTTACTTTCATTAGAGCATGAATGCAACACGTCTTTCCAGTCCCGGATGGTCCGAGTACCATCATTCCATGACGAACACGCTGCGTCTCATACAGTTGAACGACTTTCAGTAGCCAAGGTGGGTGGCTGATTAGACTAGTTTCTTCAAGATGACGTCGAATAGCAGCTTCTAGTTCCGGATACCCGCCTTTGTCCAAAGTCACTCCTGTGAAGTGGAAGAAGTGTGATGGTCAAATGAGTGAGAACTAATGCCAAAAGATTCACATCAATTTTATTAGAACTTCTATCGCTGAAAACTGTGCATGGAATACAGGGAGATTTACTTGCACCCGTATGGACTTACGCAGTGATTTGCTGTACACACAGCAATTGTCGTCCTCAGCTATTTTGCAGTCATTCGATGGAGTATTCAGTTAAATAGGTATAAAAACTGGACTACTTTCGTTGCTTGAACTGGAGGCCATCTCTCACCGCATCAAGTAAGAATTGGACTTTGTTACAGAACCTTGGTTACTCAACAGCCCATAGAATATTGCCTTTATTACTGCCCTCAAAGATGAGGCGAGATGGTTCAAGTTGTTAAAGCGCGAATTTACTGACCTGAAGGCCGTGATTCGAACCCGACCTCTGCCTCTCGACTTATTCTGTCTAGGCTTGGGAAACCTAACAGCATCCCAGCCCTCGTACTTACTTTGGGTGACATGGCAACTGGTCACCAAAAGGGTGTTACAGATTAACGGTTATCTCTCTATCTTACACGCTTTAGTGAATTCCCGTTAGCAAAAGATGACCTAAAGCACAAGTTGGAAAAATAAATTTTAACACGAGAGATATTCAATTGGGGCCTTCATATTCCATCGACCCATCTGAGCACTGAGGATAGATGAGTTACAGAAGTATCTGACCTCTCCCGGTACTATTGTTCAGAGGAACACTGAGTGCGGATTTTCGCGCTTAGTGAAATTTAATTTCACAGTACTTTGTTGGTGTCTTGGTCTCCAAATGAGTATGGAGTTCTGCTGAACGGTGGGGTTGCAAAGCACACAGAAATTTGCATTGAAACGGTCAGTTGAATTTGAAAGTGAATCCGCATCTCCTTGCAAACTTGCAGAAGACCTTCAGAGTCAGTTAATTGGGTAAACTAACAGCTATTTGTTTGAATCCTTTGGGGAGGTTCGGAGGACCTTCACATAAATATCCATACCAAACAGCCTACGCGCATATTTTGAAGATTGTTGCACACCGACGGTTCAGGGCTAAAAACTGAATTGAAATGGACCGAGTCAGTGAAGATTGTGTTATTCCACATCGTTCTATCCGAAATGCGTACGATTACAATACATATAAATCCAAAACGGGATTAATTTAATCCAACAGACCTCCATTAAAACAGCTATTTAATGTGGATATACGACACATTAGCACCGGAAGTCCGGTTATGATTATCAGTAGCGTACCTGGAAACAGGTCGTTCAACAATGACATAAATAATGGCTCGTCAGCACCAACCAGTTTACTCAAGTTCATATCTCTGAGGACGCGCATTACCGTGATGAATTCGGTGTCGTTCAAGTTGGCCCGTTTGACTGCACCCAATGTTCTCAAAACGGACAGTATATTGCGCAGTCCAAAATCGTAGTGTACCTAGCGGTTTCAACACGGGAAAAACGTTTAGGCGAAAGAATGTCAATACAAACTCAAAAAAATTTTCTAAGCAGTATGAGGAGTGGCTTTCCAAGCCCGAATATAGCAATATAATTGACCCCAGAGCAGCTGAGAGATAACATCATGGTTACTCAGCAGGTAATCTTCGGACAATCATGGAATGGACTGTATAGCCAGAGTTGACGCGCGAGTATTGTTGTTCACTTTAGCAAGTGGTTACGGAGTCAGGGAATAGGGCAATAAATAAATACTTCAAGCATATTTGGCACATATTTCTTGGTATAGGGCTTTAATGTGTTCCCCACACGCAGGAGAAAACTTTTGAAAAATTGTTCAATTCAACGCAGCTGAGAGTTGGCGGATGAGAACATGGACGCAATGGCATCGCAGATCTAAAGCCTTATTCTGAGCAGACTTCCCCAGGCGAACGTGACAAGGAGCACTAACGCTAGGAGCAACCGTTCTATTGACACCTTATGAACATAGGACAATCAGCAGCTCCCATAACCACCGGTTACAAAACTGACTCATATGTGGTCCTATACTGACAGTAAAGTGTTTAAGCCATTAGCCGGTGCTGCACCAACATGCAAGTTCGTTCCCTTACCCTTGGCCACGATGTCAGGCTTCCGTGTGCTCATATATGACCGACCCCTGGTTCCGAAACAAAACGTTAAACTCTGTTTTGTCGACCCAAACGATCAGTCTGTCCCCGACCTCTAACTGCTTGCCTCTCAAAAACGTACCTCTTCCTAAGTAGCATATTATCCTTTGAGTTCATCGTCTTACAGAGAGGATTTTTCTAGTGTGAACAATCATCCATCGAAATACCTGGCCTGCGTTGCCATGGCACAAATTCAGCAACCTACCATAAGTGTAATGAGGACAGCATCCCCGATGAATCTATTTCAGTCAGGTTACTCATTTTTCCTATTTCTGTACCGGTCAGAGCGCGATCCCGAACCCGGTACTGTGCTGAGTGTTCAGTCCCAGTCTCCTAACTTCCACCTAATAATCGGGCGCCTGTCGTTTCAAATTGGAAATCGATAGCACTTTCTGGCTTGTCTACTGCTGGCTGTTCGAGTGGCACAACTGGTTCTAGGCTACCTCACTGGCATTTTGCCGCGCCGAGCTTATTGGCTAACCTGCCTTTTTTGACAAAGCTGATGAACAGGAAACGGCACAGTTAGCGGACAGTCATAATGGTGACTCATACTGCCTTCTGGCCCATCGATCTCCAGCCCTGCATCGGTCGTCAGGCCGTACCCACCCCAAATTTCGCATGAGCCATGGGTTTGATCTCAGGCTCAGGCACCTGGACCATGGTTACCAGTGCATGTCCCGATTCTGGGTCTTCGTGCCGTTGCGCGAAGCTTCGGTGTTCAGCGCCCGAAACACACTGCTCACAGGACGGAGAGTGGCCTAACTATAGTGTCGGGTTTTTAGGGCGATTACCCCCGTGGATCCCTACAACTCGGCTGTGGCGTTACCCTTCAGATAACCATGATATTCGCAATAAACTGCGAGACCTCGGTACACTCGTGCAAGGTGATGTTGCTGTGCCGATTTCAGTGACAGTGAACTGGGAGTGAACACCCCACGTTTAGATTGCGTTGCGCACATCTGGACACAGTTCAACTGATTATGACAAGGATATTTCACTATTTATGGGATAGGATCTGCGTCCTTGTTTAACGGACTAGTATGATATTGGAAACGACCCAGATGTAGCCGGGTTGTAAATGACTGAAAAAGCATTGCGTGTGTTTTGCGCTCCCTCTTTGAAGTGTGTTAGTGTCCTTTGAATGCGGAAGGACTGCCAAATAAACCTTCCAGTTGTTCAAGACAAACGAATGGGATGATCCGACTTTTCTCGATCTATGGCACTCAGGATGCTATACAAGATATCCTCCTACAGGTTTCATCAGTGGTCAGAAAAACCTACAGAGCAAACCAAATGTAAAAGAACCTGCTGTCATATTATTCCACCTTTTGATCATGATGGAAGATTCTGGTAATAATACAAGGAAACTGAATCAGTATGCGTTCATCAGCCCCACGTTGCTACTTGGGGACGGCCGAGGACGCGTGTGAATGAATGGTTACCGTTCTGATGCGTGCCTCCCAGATCCAACCATGGCCCAGTTTTGCTAAAGTTCGTCCAACGTAGTTTGTGTGAAAGGTAGGGGCTACTGTTGTGGATGAATCGGGAGATCAGGCAAATTGTGCGAGAGAAACTCATGGTTTTCTGGTAGTTCATACAAAACAATATCGAAAGTTGTGCTATGTTTTTACCTGGGAGGCGGGCGTGTATTTCATGGTCGTACACCCATTTGCCGTCTAGATTCGCCAGTGAAACTGGTATTCCAGTCTCTCATAGACAATCCTAATAATTTGGCATTAGTAACTTTTAGGGATACAAAAGTTGTCCTTGCACGGTGTTCTCATTATAAAAACAGAAATAAGTTCGGATGGAACGCTACGGATTTTTGTGAAGTTCTTGCGGGGCTTGATAACTACATTTCCGGTCAGAGGACCAAATTTGAAATTCAAAAAGAAATTAAAATGTATGACATTGTTCGAAGTCATTTGTGCCTGCCTTTTACTTCTCATTCTGCTGAAAGAAATCTGAATCCGTGCACGTGGGTTGGGTTGACATGTGACTGCCCTAAACCATCCCATTCGAAATGGCATATGCAATTCTGGACACACCCTGCTGGTTCGGTGAGCACAATTACCAGTTAGTCACGTGAGGAAAGGTAGCGTGGTTAGTGAAACACTGCTAAACTTTCTTCCAGACGTGGTTGGGATGATAGAGGTAAAGGTTGCGCCACCATCTCACCGTATGGTGTGTGGGGTTTCTGGATGTAAAGCGTGCACCAGCGCACGTCCCAACCAGTTAGCAAAGGTGGGAACTCGGTTGTTATGTTGAGCGTGAGCTAATACCGCGCGAATGGGTTTTCGGTTAAGGTCAGATTGCCAAAGCAGTCTGCAATAAAACATCGTGTGCTAGACGCCAACATGGATTTCACCGGGGTGATTTGACCCAGACTTCTCACCAAGCCCTAGGGGTGAAGACGTGGTTGGGATGATAGAGGTAAAGGTTGCGCCACCATCTCACCGTATGGTGTGTGGGGTTTCTGGATGTAAAGCGTGCACCAGCGCACGTCCCAACCAGTTAGCAAAGGTGGGAACTCGGTTGTTATGTTGAGCGTGAGCTAATACCGCGCGAATGGGTTTTCGGTTAAGGTCAGATTGCCAAAGCAGTCTGCAATAAAACATCGTGTGCTAGACGCCAACATGGATTTCACCGGGGTGATTTGACCCAGACTTCTCACCAAGCCCTAGGGGTGATTGTGTAATAGAGTGGTAGGTGTGAAAGCAGTATAATGGCTTGGGAATCGCAAAGACCGCGTGTTCGTGATGGACCGGATGTTGAGTCAACCACTAATTTACAAACTAGTACGGTGTTCATGATACTTGAATGAAAAATGGTAGAATAATGGAAGCTTCACGCTTGCATCATGATTTGCAATTAACTGCTGAGTTTCACATTTATCCAATTTGATGTTCAGGTAAGAAATAGTGTTGCCGGGTGCTACATATCCTGAAACATACTCGAAGGCAACGAATCCGGGAGTTAGCTTGGACAGGTTTTCAACAGGCTTGCAAACTTAGTAGGCCAGGAGTTCTGGGTCGGCGTTTCCCATTATGCGCATATAAATAGTAGGGAAGTACATCAAATAAAAACACAGAGAATGTATCCGTATGTCTAATGCTTTTAACCCACCTGTTTGCTAAGCTGTTCTTCGCACAACTTGTACAAGGTGTAAAATTTCTGGGCCAAAATGATGTTATCGTTGAAACCGGAAGAGGCCAGTTTTACTCGAATGATGATTTGTCTATCAGGCACCATCATAGCTACAGTACGAAAGTTGATTTTTAAGTTCTCCGGCAGTTCTTGTCTTCCGGCATAACCAGGGTTCTGATAAGTGAGAAAAGTTTTAAAAAGATGGGAAGATCTTTTGCTCGATAGGAGCAAATCAATAATCCAACTGGGTTCATGTTTTATGGAACCAACTAGCACGAATGTTACCAAACCGGGCGGAATGTCCCAATGGTACGATATTTGACAGAGGATTGTTGGAAAAAATATTCTTTAATGTGAAGGATGGTCAATACGTTACACAAGCTGATGGTAAATTGAACTCACAGGGAAAAAGCACTTCCTTGAACAGTTCTTGTTGCTGATGTTAGTGACGCTAGTCGACCCGTTATATATCACCTAGTCCAACGTGGAGGCATTTGAACATCTAGACATACACCATCGCACTTAAGTGTAAAGTTATTCTGTTGTAGCTAAGCGATCTGCAGCTGAGGCAAAATTCGCCGCCGAGCCAATTCAGTCGTAAACATCTCATGTAACGGACAATCATAATATTTTTTGGCGAAGCTGGGTGAAAAAACAATTGTATTCTGCTATCATCATCTGTTTATTTGATTCCACTGTGACGATGCAGTCCGCAAAATCTAGGCATCTGTACCCTTGAAGGACCCTGAAGGCGACACGCGAAAAACACCAAAAACATCAATTTCCAGATAAGAGGAGTGTTGATTCTCCAAGTGAATCAACGGCGAACAGCGATCATTTTCCTTTGTGTTCCGACTACCCATCAGTAACGTGATTACGCCCGTTTAATGTAACGCCTGTGTGTTTTGCTGCTCGTTTACCCCGGTTTCGCTCCTACCGGGGTCCGCCTATTCTCCAGTGACTGATTTCAATATTTTGTTGCCCGTCATTGCCTGGAAGTTCGTCTCAGTTCTACCTATTTTTGACAGAAAAACCGCCCGGCTTGGGAGCGACCCTAGAGCTCCTCGGATGGTGGGCCAACAGGTTGTCCACTACAACAACTTGACTGACTGCCCGTATTCGCACGTTTGTACTAATGCTAATGCTTTCAGAACCCCCTGCTGCCTCACTGACCGTTTTCTGCTCCTGGTGATTGCGCTATTATTGGTTGTGTGTTTTGCTTAATTCACGATACTTATCAACCCGTTTATTTACGGAACCAGTTCCTATCACTTCTCAATACATCAAATGCTGCCCTCCTACGTCTGTTCCTATTATCTACCGGATACGAACTGCGTATAATCTGATAGAATCAATCATCCTGTGAGACAATTAGCTGCCCGGACCTTACAAGGAATTTTTACAACACCAACACTGGAAATAATGGTAAGAATTTCGATGGGCAGTGACCACACAAAAATATCTAAACGTGATAAGTACGGATATTTACAGAACAACTGCCGGTAAGGAATAAATTCCCATATTAAGTATGATATGAAGAACGAAACTAGGAATATAAGTCGCGTGTGTGGGGCGTCAATTGATATGGCTACAAAGTCACTGCCTGTTGATTGAATGGATCGCTCTCTTTGCTATGATCCGGATGTTTGTTCCAAGAATTTATGCCCGTGAGTGCAGCCTACACTTGGTTGTGAATCTCTCAGTGGATTAGCAAAGTGTGCACCAATATTTGACATATCCCACCAAATGCTACTTTTCCGCGTTAAGAGGACCGCAATTTATCCACCAACTGTCATGTTGAATCCATTCAGGACTATTCCGCATTTCTTATGCTGGTAGAAATCACTCCTACTAACTCTCAACCAGCCGAAGTTTAAGGGTCTTCAAATGTGGCAATATGGTCGTGACAATACACGAAATACGGGTCTATAGGAATTGTCAAAAAGAAAGTGACGTCGACCACATCCACGCACTTTAATAGTAACTGCCACTCACCATTGTCAAGAAAATCCCAAATTCAGGATTCATTTCAACTGTGTCTCCATCAGTGAAAACAAATTGGGATTTTCGTTCTTTCTTGCAAGTCAGAACGATTGCAATTTGTTGGGCAGCCACAGAAAGCACAGGTAGTTCGATGCGATTGAATTCATCAAAACAACCCCATGCTCCAGATTGAGCAAGGCCTTTGAAAATACGTCCCAGTCCACGAAAATCCATTTGATCAGAACAGTTGGAAACAATCACATACTTTCCCAAACACCGACCCATGTCTTTGACGGTCTCTGTCTTTCCTGTCCCTGCTGGTCCAGCCGGAGATCCGCCCATTGACATGCCCAAAGCTTGAGCCAAAGTGATGTAGCACCTGTTCGGGTTCATTTGGGAGAAGATCCGTTAAATATGGCACATACGTAACCGCAGACCAAAGCTTGGGCCATTATATACGGAAAAGTCAAAATTTCGGAAAACATAGTCCATTGATAGACACTTGTTAGTTTAACCGTAATCATCGAGACTGATGAGATCTTATTCCAATATTCACCTTCATACAAAATTGACGTATGTTCTCCAGTTTCTTGCTCAAAGCCCGGTTCATATCCGGAGAACCATCTGCCCCCTCAGCTAGCCATCTCAAAGAGTGGTTACACCTAGTTAGGTCCACTTTATTACGGTATGTGAGATTCGATTTGTAGGTGATAACATCTGGATACCTCTATTTAACTCACAACAAACATAACTCTGGGCGTCAACGCAGAATTATTTTTCTTTCCAAAAGGACATGATGCGGAATCCTTGTTTTTGGGTTTTGGGTACATTGGAAGCCCAATGATGATTACAAAATATGATTTTCACTTACATAAGCCTTCACGAATTAAGTAGTCACTCAAAACTGAACCCTTTCTTGAAAAGTGGTTACCACGGAAGAAGAAGAAGGCATTCAGCTTCATTTGCGACTAATTAGATAGTCTAAAATCCAGCTGGTTAGTCTACTGAACGTGGGAACCTGATAATTTACATACCAACGAAGGGTCAAGTCCAACTTATAAAATCTGATTAGCTGCGTAACACGGTTGTTCCATCCACAGTGAAATTTTTGTGCTTATATACAGGTCATTAGCACTCAAGCAATTCAGATCATCAGTGCTTGGCGCATACTTTGCGATAATATCACCCATCAAATTTATGTAATAAATAGATCAGAATAGTCAAAAGGTATCTTATAAAGTGATGTAAAATGCTGCCATCAAGGTGGATTTCTCCATACATTGACCACTCCTCCAGAGAATATATAAAATTCTTCCCTGAAAGACACGATCTATTGTGCGACCCTCCTACACCGAAGAACTATGCCCTGGAGAACTTCATTAATTTATTCCGAAACCGCATGCATTGGCGGACAGAAAGGGTATAAATTCATATTTTGGGTATCCTGTCGCAATAGTGAATAGCTTATTTCTACTTTTCATCGTTGGTGGCGTTTATTTTAATGATCTTCGGATACAAGTTTGGAACTTGGCACTTTCAAACGCTACGGCACGCGTTGCATCAAATTCCACACTATAAGTTTTATTGTATTTCAACTTATGAGCAGTTTCTCATTGGATTTGGCCTGCTGAGGTGCGGTTTCCAGGATAAGTCAGTTGGTAACAATCCTATAAACATTAGTATGAAATAATGTTGGATTTTGAGAAACCTCTGATTGTTCAGTTTTCAAATTGAATCGATTGGCCATAAGGGCCGCTCTGGTCTTCAGCATTGAACTTTACTTTTTTTATATCCTATCTATTCAAGTTGGTTAAACCAACGAATTACCGACTATCTTTATGTGCTTAACTGTACGGAATCTCTGTACATTAATTTAACATCATAATAAACCAGCATTCTACCACTTCTGGTACAACAAACGAAGCACTGAGCAGTCGAGGGGAGTAACTCAAGTGCTTTCAAAGCGCGATCAAATAGGGCGACTGATCTCGAAAATGTAAACTGTTATATCATACGGTCTATCGTTGCCATACTAGACGCTGGTTTGCATTACCACAGTGCATAAGATTATCTTATCTATTCACGTCCTGTTTTTGCGGAAAAACGAAAATCTGTCTCTGTAGTGCAGAACAGCGACGGATACCGAATTCATCTTTTGGCGATTGCCGTACAGTAAAGTCCGCAAAACGAGCCAGCTGTCAACCCATCCAACCGAACCAGGTCCACATTGCTTAGTGTTTTGACAAGTTTAAATCAGCAACTGGGTGTGGGGGTTCACGTACCTGTCTGTGAGTGGAGTAATAGCCAGGCGCTCTGTGCATCCCAAGAATTCATTTTGATATTCAAAGTCCACATCAGTTATCGAAATCAAGCATTTGTCTGTTTCTTCGAAAAAGTAGAACCGAGTTTGTTTCAACCATTCGAAATCCGTGTCTGAACGAATTCGGTCTTTGATCTGTAAAAAGTAAAGAATCGTATAATGAGGAACGACTGTTTATTTCAGTCAAAAATTCGCCAGTTTTATCGACTGGAGACCCCTAGAAACGGTGACAGAATAATACAGAAGAAACGGAAACAAGTTGCTAGAGAACTCTTGACGAACCTAGGAAAATTGGCATTAAAAATAAGGTACTTGGCACTAGAACAGTTGTAATTTTGAGCATCATTTTACGACTGACTGCGATTGACCGAAGAGCATAGTGATTGGATCAAAAGCTGATCAATCAACATTGGATGTTTGGCTGCCCCACCTGAAGCCCATCGGGTAGATGTAGGTCACGTTAACACCGGAATTATTTGTACTTAAGTCGAACAAAGTCTGAATGGAACTTGGTTGCCCAACCCACCCAATGAACCCCAAGATGGGCGTAGCCGGTATTGGGCTGTCAACGGGTGCTCAGCAGCATCATGTCCAGCGCTAGCAATTTATGTATGTCGTTTTTAGCAAATATAAGGTTACTCTTCAAACGTGACGGGAAATAAACTGTTTTTGTCACCTGGTTCACGGCAGTGACAGTATAGCCACCATCCATCTAGTGTTTCAGAGGTTTGGTCGACAATGTGTGGATTGTTTTTCACGAAGTGTTATCGTGTGTCACCGTTTACTTCAATTTGTCTGCGAATTGGAACACGAAGCTGTTCACGCACTCGGTGACGTGACGGCCCACGGCTCAACGGGACTCTTCACTTAGATGCATCCCAACGAACCAAGATACACGGGTTGGGGGTACACCCGAGCGAAAGCCGCCAATAAGGTGCCAGCAGCTTCGCGCACACATAGAAGGCGCTGAGAGAATGATGGCACAAGTCAATAGGACATGGTATGACAGGCTGTTACCTGGTCACACCTGACCAGTGACTTTAGCGATCTTACAGTCTGATGTTTACAGTGGGTTATCCATTCCTCATGATCTGCCCATCACACCCAGAAAGCCCACATTGTCCGGTGAGCCAGTCGAGCCCGTGTGGTGTCAGTGGGCTGGTTCAGTCAGCTTCGTCTCCTACGTTCGGCCGACAGACCACCCAGTCAGGTGACAGTCGAGGTGGTGGCGATGATGCCTGTAAGTTGCCGATTCGAACTACTCGGTTAACTGCGCTTTCAACTATGGGTACACGAAAGTGCGAGGCGTGCACGACAGTCGAAAGTTGCCTCGGCCGATATGTGTGATCGTGCTCCACTGGGACAGTGCTCGCGAACATGGTCTAGTGCGAGCCGATTCATGAAGTGGATAAATCACAATCGGTTTCATCCAAAAAGGACAGGAAACTAGTACATATTTGTCTAAATTGCAGTTAGATGTTTTCATACTGGACCGCGCTCGCTAGCGTCAGTACTGCTTAATTTCGGGGCGCTCTTGAGGATGTGGACCGTAATGGATATGAATGAAATTTTGTGTACAAGTTACCGACGTTTTAAAATAAAAATCTATGGAGCATTTTTGACTCCAGTCAAACTCGCTTCATTCAGTGATTGGTTACCTAGACGTGTGACCATCCGCCACTAGTCACGTTGTTCTGTCTTGATTATTTTTAGAGGCGGATTTTCATCAAAATTTGCTCAGAAATTTGTTTCAGAATACCGGCTGAAAGCGGACTACTTAAGGGTCCCAAAATACAGCTGGAGACCAGCCAAAATTGGAGCAGTGTTCCCGATGGTTGCCACTCAGGCGGGACAGCTGTAATCTGTCTACATTATCCCGCACACAACCAACGTTTGTCCCTATTCGACAACAATATGTGAAACTCCGGGGGCGAAAAAATAGCCGAGAAATTAACCAAAAGTCGGGTTAACGATCGCAGGTTTTTTGCCCAACACGGTGCCCATAGACGCCTTTGGGCGCTTTGATGTAGCTTAAACCTAAACAGTAAGTTTATGGGTTTACACACGTATGTACACTTCACACCCAGAGTAAATAGATTTAGGTAGGTTTACTACAACAGTTTATTTTGATAGTCCAGTGGAGTTTAGATGCACAAGCTTCACTAACCATAAGATGATTGATCAGTCAACTGGAGCATTACAGAAGCACGCGCAACAGGTTATCGATTTAACTGCTAATATTTAACATTTTTACGCAGGCCTAATCCCTTGCAGTGGAACCAAATGTTAGAGCTATAAAAGACCTTAAACTATTAAGATAAAATCTCACGGCACAACCACAGATTCTGAGGGAGAAACTACGATTGTATATGGGAATGAGAATAGCCGAATAGCCAGGTATATCTAGATGTGATTGACAGAGTTAGTCACTAGTTCGCAGAGTGTTGCTGAATGATTTACTTGAGTGGTTGACGTCACTCTATATCGGGAGACACTTTCATCCCAAGGGTCATTGGAAGACTGCCATGTTACCCGTGACCATTGACGGTGTGTTAACTGGCAGTACCCTGCGCGTTGCGCTGCATCTTACATAAATTGATGGATGACAACGACGCCCCAGTGATGAACAGGCGGCTAGCGTCGGCACTCGTTGTTAACCCACCATGTTTACACCAGCTAATGACCTACAACGAGTGTCTGCACGCTTGCTGGGGTTAATATCAGCGCTAAAAGGTTTACCCGCCACCCACATTCGCCTCATCCCGAGCCGTGTTTGTTTCTCCTACTATGCGCGGGATTGCAGTGGTTTGACCGGCTTCAAGTTTGTTTGTAGATGTGTCTATGGTGATAGATTGCGTGTGTAAATGAAATTTGTCAGCACGGAAGTTCGTGACTTGTCTCCGTTCTTCTTTTTGTTATTTTTGTCCACACAGTTTTAGTTGATTGAGGACTTGGGTATTCAGGCCCTTAAAAGCCATAAACATACTTTCTTACCGCATCGAGCCAACGAAATCCCGGTGGCAGCGTGCTTTTAGAGGGACTATGATACATCACTTTTGGTGTTCGGTGTTCGCTGTGCATTAATTAAATAATATGCAAATTACCAATTCACTGAATATGTCCTTCTGGTGTAAGTGGATGGTGATGAGCGTTTCATATTTGGTTCTTTCCACGGTAGAAAGGTTTTTAGTTGTCTCATTGATCAACGTTGTCAACATTCTGGAGAAGGCAGCATCCGTCTGACGCATAATTCCCGGTTCATATCGTGCTGTTTTCAATGCGATTGTCGCGTCTCTGGTCCATATAAACTGAATTCCCAGAAGGCCAACCTTAAATGTGGAAAAGGGTGGTTATTATTTGATCTCGTAACCACTGTAAACGATATCCCACTTCCCATTTATCAAAGCGGGAAGAACAGTGCTGCTGCATATACACGATGACAACTTTTAGTGAAAAATTAGTGACTACCCTCGTCTGTGTGGCGCATACGACAGACTTCCATACCGGGTAAAGTGGAAAACTAAGGCAGTCTTTGCACTGGTGTGTTGACACGTACGCAGGACTTTTATATCCGGGTTTGCAGGTTTCGTTTCTTGTCTGCTAATGGAAAATGAATGTGACATCAAAACCAGAGTCGTAAAAAACAGAGTCATATAGTTCATCCCCTGCCCTGGATTTATACTTACGGTTATCCATGTCCTTAGACCGTGAAGTTTGCTCAAATATGGGACGCTAGGAACAGCTTATAGAGCTCATCTTTTGTCCACAAATTATTTCACATCTAACAAAAACAGTTTTTTCGGGCGTTCTGCATGAACGTTATCGTGGAGATACTAAGTAGATAGAACCGCAGGCTGACCAAAGCCGCACACAAAACATATCAGTCCAATCACGACTTAACTGTGAGATCCTGCTGAGTTCGTTGTCACCTTCAAACCTTGACTGGTCCTGATCATGGTGGGCTACGAATACGATTTGGGTTGGGCACTTGTCGCCTAACACCAGCAGGACGAGATCATCCATATTCGATGATTTTCTGTATTGAGGTATGATAATTCTGAAGGTTGAAGCTAATGTCTGGGTCATGGTAAACCTTAAATCCTCCGTGAGCAATTTCATTTCTCTCATCCCTTCAACGTTAGCCGACAAACTGAATTGGATCGTAGGTAGTAACATCCACATCAGCAAGCTCTCTTCGAAAGTTGCTAGTACTTGTGCGGTGACTGAATACGTCCGTACATATTACGGTTGTAAAGTTTACGAAACTGGATCGTAAAACGAAGCGATGCGTGGTGCTTCAGTATGTGTTGCAGTCTTATAATTTCCGTTGTCTCCTTTTGTTACATCCGAATACCCGTTCCCGATATGTCTGGTTTCGCAGTTCTGATTGAAGGTGAGCAAGCTATTGTCAGAAATGCCCGTGCGTAATAATTCAGACGCTAGTGGTTGCTACACCTTATTCTGCTTCGCATTTTTAAGTTACAGATAGGTGGGTATACTGATAAGGGGAACATTCCACAACTAGGTGGGTAACTGATAAGGGGAACATTCCACAACAAGATGTAGAAAATTTGTAGGATGCAAACATTACTGGTTGTTTTTGGAGAGCTGCCCATGAAGGGGGTGGGACCGACTCATTATGGACGTTGTAAGAGAATCATATGATGTATAAAAATGGTAGGGCGGATTTGGTAAGCATTAGTAGAGGAGACTTCAGTTCTAACTATTTTATATTGCGGTTTCTGTGTGTTTGTTTTCGGGATGTGTATTTCACTTCAGTTTCACACTCATAGGCAGTACATTGGTAAAGTTGAGATCGACTTAATTATGATGAACTTGCACATTATACTCACCTGAGCAGGATAGGCGTCCAGGAACTCCAGAAGATTGAAATCCTTACTCGAAACTGCCATGTAGGCGTTGTGTATAACTTCGTGCAGAGAGTGTTGTGCTTGCTTCAGAAGGACATTTAGCCACACTTCAANCATTATACTCACCTGAGCAGGATAGGCGTCCAGGAACTCCAGAAGATTGAAATCCTTACTCGAAACTGCCATGTAGGCGTTGTGTATAACTTCGTGCAGAGAGTGTTGTGCTTGCTTCAGCAGGACATTTAGCCACACTTCAACATGACCTTCTGCCTTCACTGGTTGTTCGAGCTACATTAAGAAACACACCAAAAGTATTCGTCAGGGAGATTCATGGTGTCTAATTTAGAGTCCTGTTCACCGGTGGTAACGTCTTACCTCCAGTACTTCACCTTCTTGTGAGTAACACGTCAGAATGGTGTCAGGCTGCTTATCGTGGAATCTCACGGTCTTGATGTTATCGAACACGGATAGTAAATGGGCTTGTATTGTTCGTGGGTTGGATGCCTGGCCCAATATTTCCAGAAGGGTTGGATCAGACACAAAGAAAAATCGGGGGAACAGCAACCGTTTCTTTTCGAGGTACCTGTCAAATATAGAATACCGTGACATACAAACCAAACGAATATCAGACCAAGCTAAGTGAATGTCATCGGGTGAATAAATGAATGTATAATGTATAATGGTGGGATATGGGTGTGGTGGAAAGGATAGCCTACCATTACTAGAAAAACCCACGATCAATCTGTTATTTTTCTACAATAAAGAAAGGAGTCCTTTTCCGTTACCTTTGTTCACACCATTAACCCTGTTTGGTTTATGTAGCATAGTTTGTAAAGTTCCTCCCTGGCGTTAATCCCCATAATGAAATACAATGTTGCGGCTGGGTTCCCGTAATTCACTCTACTGAATACGTTGGCCTTCAAAACATTTTAATTTATCTTCACGTGCTCACTTTCAAACGAACTGACACATGTGGTTAGCTGGGCAGAAGAAAATAGCTTTTGGGTGTTAGCTGTCGGATTTCAAGTGTTTTTCGCGCATAACATACTGTTTCAGAAACATACAGAGAAAGTCTAGGTCAACTTCACAGCAATTGGGGTGCGGGTTAACTAGAAGGGGATCGTCTTGGTTTCATCGAATTCAATGAGCCGTGAAACTCACCCTCCTGAAGATGTACTTCCTTCACTTTTTGGCACCAGAAAAGTTTCACTGGTTTCTACTTCGGACGACTAAGCATCATTCAGAACCAAAAATTAGCAACAAATTCCTGTATCTGCTACTGTTTGGAAATTAGACACGATTGAATTTTGCATCTGTCAGTGGCAAACAGCGGACCGTCGGCAAAACACCATGCCATGTTCAAAACCACCGAAAGGAACACCAGCATATGACTGTTTGTTCCACAAATACGGCACGGTCACCTTCGGTCCTCAGTTGTGAGTTTATCTAGTGGTTTAATTCAGTGGTTCTCCAGAAGAGCGCGAAACAATTGAATGTCAATCTTTTGTTCCGTTTCAAAGAAAATTATTAATTTTTCAGAAGGTATCACTGCATCTGGACATCAGATTACTCATGTGCTCCATCGTATATACCTGAATTTTCAAGTTAAGCAGGAATGCTCACAAGTAGCGCTGCGGACGAAAACTTCGACATTGGACAATAACGCTGTTGTGAGGGCCAGGACAACGGTCACATATTTATGAAAAAAATCTAGTCAGTACCTCATGGATAATCTTCTGTTTTCAAGATATGATCAGCTGACAAGAGTTCGCTCAAACTGATAAATGGATGGGAGTTAACGACGGGGTAATCTTTCGAGAATGAATAACACTCAACAGTGTCTGTTGGGAGTGAAGGCGTTTCTGATGTCGAGATTCCACTCTGTCAGCCTGTTCAACTTATAGAGTTTCATGTGCCTTATTTGTGGGATGAGTTATATGATTCTGTGAACTCTACCAAACGTCAGGCATCAGTCATAGCTTCAAATTCTTGCACGAGAACAAAAACTCACACAGTGGCGTGTCTAGCTGACACGATAAACCCATCCTTCTATAAAATCATTCCGAGCGGTAACTTTTATTCAGACGACGCCTGTTTTTATTCTCCCCATACAGAATTCTTCCTAGTAAACCAGAGCATTATTCTCTGTTTGCTTCGCTGATGGTTGTTTCCTGTGGATAGACTTTTTTTGGATTTCCGTAATTCCGGAGTACTCGTAACGTCTACTCTGGATAGGACTGCATTTTCAATGCAGTCATATGATTGATGTTTGCATCTCAGCATCTATCGACTGACTGTCGGACTCTTAGGTGGGGTGATAGGCTATATTCTGCTGCAACTCATTATACATAGACATTCAATGCCGACTTAGCTGGCATACGATGGCTTGACCTCAGGTTCTGGAACCGATCCTGACAGCGAGGCCGTTCAAATTTTCCCTATGCCAAACAGTGAACTGGAATTCACCTCTGGGTTTGTCCTTCATATAAAGTGGTGACGACGGAAACCGGGATAAAACTGGAGATGTCAAATAAAGACAGTTATCTAAGTCATCAATGCACGCTTTATTAAAACTGTGACTGCATGTTTTGTTCACTCCCGACACCATCAGATTTAGCCCAAAACGTTGGGAGACAGGGATTCCGATAGTGGTGAACAGGTGCGGTAGATAGGGTTAGATAGATAGGGGGTAATGGGGACATTCGGACGCTTTGATCCACGGACATATTGTCCCACAAACATTTGTGCCTGCGGAATTTTCGGCCAATAAAATTGCCATCCCAGGTATGATCACCCACTGACTTCCCAGACTCAGGTTGTTTCAGCATTTTGGAAACCGCTACCTCACGCAATTTACATCAGAATCCTAACATGTTTACTATTAGAACACACTAACAGCTGAAGGGTTTCTCAGCAACGTACCGTTCATGCTTAATAAGTTTGAACAAACTTCCACTTAAGCAAGCTCCCTATATTTAGAACTTAAAAGTTGGGAACAGGCAAAACGACCAGGCCTAGACAGGCAAAGAGCTAATGAAACCTTCTGGTCAAACGTTCTTTCGTGACGCATTTATTCAGTGGGGTCGCCACACGATATGAAATCAAGTGACCAAAGTCGGACAGTGGGATTTAGTGGTAGGATTATGCGTGCTAAGAAACAAACACTTTGGAAAACAAGGGTTAAGGAGATGCAGATAGCGGGAGATATCTAAATCCCATTTTGGCATTTACCAGAAAAAAGAGTGCATCATTAGCTAGAAGAGCTTAAATCAAACTAGGTGTGCATTATTGCAGTATTTATAGAACTTTCATTCACATCACTTGGGTGAACGATCCTAATTTTGTCCCGGTCGTTCCTCAATAAAGGGGATGCACTGGATTCGAAAGACGTGAGTAACTGGGCTTCCTAAAGACAAATTCTTCTAAACAGCTGAAGCAGCCATGAGCCAACAATTTAGCACACGGCTTTCTTATGGACAGGGTTGTGGGAATTTCAGCAGTCGTCACTGTTTGACACCTCATGTATGGACGTTAGCTCCTTCTCAAGGAGATGCAATAGCGGGAGATATCTAAATCCCATTTTGGCATTTACCAGAAAAAAGAGTGCATCATTAGCTAGAAGAGCTTAAATCAAACTAGGTGTGCATTATTGCAGTATTTATAGAACTTTCATTCACATCACTTGGGTGAACGATCCTAATTTTGTCCCGGTCGTTCCTCAATAAAGGGGATGCACTGGATTCGAAAGACGTGAGTAACTGGGCTTCCTAAAGACAAATTCTTCTAAACAGCTGAAGCAGCCATGAGCCAACAATTTAGCACACGGCTTTCTTATGGACAGGGTTGTGGGAATTTCAGCAGTCGTCACTGTTTGACACCTCATGTATGGACGTTAGCTCCTTCTCAAAATGCGACCAGTTGTCGCTGACTAGCATAAGAGCCTCTATGGGCCTCGCGTTAAACAGGACCTATGTTCACCAGTGTTGGAATCTTTTCAGAAGGGAAAATGACAGTTGGGACAAACAAGAAATTTTTGCACGTCCCACCATCCTGTCCGGTTAGTGTTTGTCCGTCTAAGTTTAAGCGGATGATTTCTTCGCTGCCCACTACGCGTAGTGACTGCAGTTGAGGCATGCATTTATCTGACGACTCGAAAAGAAATCCTGGTTTCCATCTCAGTGAAGTGCACTCGGAAAGACTGGAATAACAAAGCAAGTAAGGCTACTTCAATTTATTTGAAAACTACTATGTCATTAACTTCGGAAACTAACAGGATGACGGCTTAAAAGTGGGAACGACAATCAGTACCTTTCTGCTGAAGAGACGGCCAATCGCTTTTATAGTTTTTTTTTTCACGGATACATTACGATTCCTGCGGAACATGTACGGATACGGTATCTACATTTCTTGGTGGATGTAGGGTCGACAAATGTGAAATATTTGGAATAGTACCAGCTATTAGCTTTTGACGGGGTGTCGCGGAAAATAATGTGTAAAAAGGCTATAGTTATTCTTCAGTTCTTCATTTGAAACCAAGACAGTTAAGTGATATGTCTGGGGAAAAATTAATCGCATTCAAGTGACTGTGACAAAATCACTAAGTAAGTGTCGTAGACAAAAGATATCATGAAAAGGCCGGAACGATTACTCAATTCGTAATGAAATTTATTCTTCCATATAACGGCTCACCTCGAACAGAGACCAAATTTGGCGTTCCGAAGGATGGTTCATAGGGAGAAATGCAGTTGAAACCGAAGATCGACAAGAACTTCAGGAATCAAGTAAACACAGTAGCAAGGATATGCATCTCTCAGTAGTTAGTTGAAGTTGACTTACCCTGTCAAGCTTTTCTGACAAATCTCCAGCTGCTCCATACAGTGAGGGATCAACTGACTGAGGAGGTCATCACGAGTGCAGCAGTCTAACACATTCGGTGTTTCATGAGCTCTTTGCATAATTCTCTGCCATGACTTATCTACAGCACTGAACCGTTTTGCTTCCCTTGGTAATTGCCGCGCAATATCTCCACCGATAAAGACGGCCTCCAAATAAATCCATAAGTTTTGCAGTGCTAACCATTGCTCAATGATTTCACTCGTACTGGAAAGCCCTGAAACCATAGTCTGAATTTCCTTACGAAACGGAGCGTTGTACCGGTTACTCAGTAATGAGGCCAATAGCATTAGTGAGTCCTCCATGAGTGAAACCAGTTCATTTGTGTGATCGCCACGAAGCAAGAGCTCACCGCGGTTTTTGAAATGAACAAATTGAAACTCCTGCGTGTTCCAATCCAATTTTAGTGCACGCAACTTATTCTCAATTTCGCGTTCTTTGATGGCAGATATGCACACATCTTCCACGTCTTCCTTATATTTGAGGAGGGGAGCCATCAAAATATTGCGCAAAGCGAATCCTTCAGCTTCGACATTAAACTCATGGCCTGTAAGCTCTTTCAATCGGGCCCAGTGTCGTGGTCTCATGGCTGGATTAGTCATCAATTCAAGTAGCGGCATAATCTGATTAAAGTCGGCCAACATTTTACGCAGGTCTTCATATGCTTGGTAAGCCCTCAAAGCAGAAGGCAGCTTAAGACAACGATTCTCCAGGTCAGCCAGCTCGGCAGCAATCAAGTCAATCTTCACATCCGCCCAGAGTATATCACGGTATCCTGCGGTTTTATTGAGTACACTGTTGTAGAGCGAGTATAGCTTTTGTAGGAGGCTAAGTTCTTTGCGCATCTGTAAGATGCGGGGATATTCTGTCGCCGGAAGTCCAAACAGTTCCTCTCCAGCACTACAGGTAATGTACTGTCGATACAGACTGTCAAAGCGATTTTGGAAAATGACTAATCGATCTGAAGCTTCACCCGGAGAAATGTTCGGAACCATTGGTCCAACCTAATCAGGGGTAGAATAAAAGTACAATTCCTAATAGCCACTAATAGTTGTTGACTGAAAGGTGGTCACGTTCTGTTCACATTGAAAATAAGAAGACACGTTTGAACTTAAATTTGAGGTCAGGTGTCTGGTTGAAAAAGGTAGCCCGCAACCTGTTTAGCCCTTCTTGGGGCTCATTGGGTATACGCAGTTCTTGAACTTTTGTCAACCAATGACCGCAATCAATTGCGTGTTGCAAGTAGTGATTGATTTTGCCATTCTCGCTCTCTTGAGTAGAACTAGTCTTTGGTTCATCTCTCCCAAATCTGGCTCACGCCGCGCCATCGCTGTGGACTCCCATATGGTGGTATAGAGGATTCTGAACACCTACGGTTCCTCGGAAACCGAAGAAGACTGACTGTTAGACCCAGGCAATAACTATCACAATTTTTAGTCGCAGAACTACTTCCATTTAGTTAGTGGTTTTCTTTCGGACGATCTATATTCTTTCTGATAGCTCTTGTGGCCTGAATGCAAGGCATATCAGTCGAACAAGATGGGCCTTGAATATGAGTACGACCTTACGTTCTTGCGTGTGAGGTCTATCATCGCGTCAGCTGGAAAACTCATGGAACGGCTCGCGGAACCGTACTCGGAGAAAAGTTTGGTAAACAATTAATCTACCAAATTAGCGAAATACAGTCACTTGCAAACCAATTTGGTTTTGCGTAAGACTCATCTGAAACCCAACTGGATCACTCGTTTACGATTTTAAGCAACTAAGTGTGGTGCACCAGGCCCCCTCAGTTGGTACGATAACCAAGATATTGCGATACATGGGTTGACGTAACACAGTACTCAGGTTCTGTTTTACTGATAGCGTGCAAGCCCTTCCCAATTGCGGTGAGTCATCAGAGGCAGACTGAATCATGTATGGCGAACATACTTGTGCAGCACATGCAATTACTAAGAATACCATAGACGAGAGATTCAGCTGAGTTCTATTTTTAGCGTGCAAGCCCTTCCCAATTGCGGTGAGTCATCAGAGGCAGACTGAATCATGTATGGCGAACATACTTGTGCAGCACAGCACATTACTAAGAATACCATAGACGAGAGATTCAGCTGAATTCCAGGCGAGTTTACCGTAGAAACCTAATTGATAGGCAAATGAGTGTATTTCGCTTATTTCGTGAAATCAGAGTTCAAGTGGAGCATAAGGTTGATGGAAACTCGGGAACGGTGCCTACTTGATGAGCCCTGAGAAGAGCGAAACCGGTCATGGGCTGTCGAAGAATGTTCAGCAACATCTTCGTAATGTACTACTCATAAGGTTGCTGAAAATCCGTCGACAGCAACCTTTTGGGTTGTAGATTAATTCTACCAATTGTTCTACGTACTTTTTCAAAATCTGTTGCTGCATGTTCAGCTCACTACCTCAGCTAGGAAAATTATATGAAGTGAGTTTTATGGGAAGAATTCACTGCAAAAGCGTACCCGGCAGTTTACCTCTAATCTATTGACAATACAGAGAGTTAGGGTTGAAACTGATACCTTGTGAAAAATTATTTTTAATTTCCGAAATAGGTTGTCCTACATGCTTTCCAGACGCTGGTCCCCTGCACAACATATACCGTGACTCGAAACTCTTAAGATTTGTTTCCCTATTTTTAAGTGCTTGTACCGGTTACTCAGTAATGAGGCCAATAGCATTAGTGAGTCCTCCATGAGTGAAACCAGTTCATTTGTGTGATCGCCACGAAGCAAGAGCTCACCGCGGTTTTTGAAATGAACAAATTGAAACTCCTGCGTGTTCCAATCCAATTTTAGTGCACGCAACTTATTCTCAATTTCGCGTTCTTTGATGGCAGATATGCACACATCTTCCACGTCTTCCTTATATTTGAGGAGGGGAGCCATCAAAATATTGCGCAAAGCGAATCCTTCAGCTTCGACATTAAACTCATGGCCTGTAAGCTCTTTCAATCGGGCCCAGTGTCGTGGTCTCATGGCTGGATTAGTCATCAATTCAAGTAGCGGCATAATCTGATTAAAGTCGGCCAACATTTTACGCAGGTCTTCATATGCTTGGTAAGCCCTCAAAGCAGAAGGCAGCTTAAGACAACGATTCTCCAGGTCAGCCAGCTCGGCAGCAATCAAGTCAATCTTCACATCCGCCCAGAGTATATCACGGTATCCTGCGGTTTTATTGAGTACACTGTTGTAGAGCGAGTATAGCTTTTGTAGGAGGCTAAGTTCTTTGCGCATCTGTAAGATGCGGGGATATTCTGTCGCCGGAAGTCCAAACAGTTCCTCTCCAGCACTACAGGTAATGTACTGTCGATACAGACTGTCAAAGCGATTTTGGAAAATGACTAATCGATCTGAAGCTTCACCCGGAGAAATGTTCGGAACCATTGGTCCAACCTAATCAGGGGTAGAATAAAAGTACAATTCCTAATAGCCACTAATAGTTGTTGACTGAAAGGTGGTCACGTTCTGTTCACATTGAAAATAAGAAGACACGTTTGAACTTAAATTTGAGGTCAGGTGTCTGGTTATAAAAGGTAGCCCGCAACCTGTTTAGCCCTTCTTGGGGCTCATTGGGTATACGCAGTTCTTGAACTTTTGTCAACCAATGACCGCAATCAATTGCGTGTTGCAAGTAGTGATTGATTTTGCCATTCTCGCTCTCTTGAGTAGAACTAGTCTTTGGTTCATCTGTCCCAAATCTGGCTCACGCCGCGCCATCGCTGTGGACTCCCATATGGTGGTATAGAGGATTCTGAACACCTACGGTTCCTCGGAAACCGAAGAAGACTGACTGTTAGACCCAGGCAATAACTATCACAATTTTTAGTCGCAGAACTACTTCCATTTAGTTAGTGGTTTTCTTTCGGACGATCTATATTCTTTCTGATAGCTCTTGTGGCCTGAATGCAAGGCATATCAGTCGAACAAGATGGGCCTTGAATATGAGTACGACCTTACGTTCTTGCGTGTGAGGTCTATCATCGCGTCAGCTGGAAAACTCATGGAACGGCTCGCGGAACCGTACTCGGAGAAAAGTTTGGTAAACAATTAATCTACCAAATTAGCGAAATACAGTCACTTGCAAACCAATTTGGTTTTGCGTAAGACTCATCTGAAACCCAACTGGATTACTCGTTTACGATTTTAAGCAACTAAGTGTGATGCACCAGGCCCCCTCAGTTGGTACGATAACCAAGATATCGCGATACATGAGTTGACGTAACACAGTACTCAGGTTCTATTTTACTGATAGCGTGCAAGCCCTTCCCAATCGCGGTGAGTCATCACAGGCAGACTGAATCATGTATGGCGAACATACTTGTGCAGCACATGCAATTACTAAGAATACCATAGACGAGAGATTCAGCTGAATTCCAGGCGAGTTTACCGTAGAAACCTAATTGATAGGCAAATGAGTGTATTTCGCTTATTTCGTGAAATCAGAGTTCAAGTGGAGCATAAGGTTGATGGAAACTCGGGAACGGTGCCTACTTGATGAGCCCTGAGAAGAGCGAAACCGGTCATGGGCTGTCGAAGAATGTTCAGCAACATCTTCGTAATGTACTACTCATAAGGTTGCTGAAAATCCATCGACAGCAACCTTATGGGCTTTAGATTAATTCTACCAATTGTTCTACGTACTTTTTCAAAATCTGTTGCTGCATGTTCAGCTCACTACCTCAGCTAGAAAAATTATATGAAGTGAGTTTTATGGGAAGAATTCACTGCAAAAGCGTACCCGGCAGTCTACCTCTAATCTATTGACAATACAGAGAGTTAGGGTTGAAACTGATACCTTGTGAAAAATTATTTTTAATTTCCGAAATAGGTTGTCCTACATGCTTTCCAGACGCTGGTCCCCTGCACAACATATACCGTGACTCGAAACTCTTAAGATTTGTTTCCCTATTTTTAAGTGCCATCTAACTCTATACCAGTGAGGTTCGTTTCCGATGAGATTGTGGCCTCAAAACATGGTTTTCAAGTGTCCCACTTGGAATGGCTGGAAGGTGTCCAGGGATCGTATATAACTGCTTGTGAATGTTCACTTAATTTTCATAATAAATCCATGGTTTTCTATGGAGGAGCATGTCGGTAGTTCAGGTAGCGTATCCATGGTTTTCCATGGTTTTCTAGGAGAATCTGAGTTTATGGTGACGGTTAAACAGTGAATGTTGTCAACCATGATATATACAACGAAGGAGCTGCCCTACGGAGAGGCCATCAGTTGGATGTTCCTGGATGAATCACATAATGCTCAGATTCAACCTCAGTACCGGTCAGTCTCCAAAATCATCCAGATGGATGAATTTTATTAGCCATCGCATTGCTTGACCTGACTATGTAATGTGATTGAGCTGGACAGCAGCGAAGATATTCGGCCTATGTAACTGACCTCATCACTTAGAGTTTCGAGTTGGATTGGGGCAAAATAGGACATTCCTACTAACTTAAAAGTGCAGCGTGTTCCCGAGACACCACTTTTGTTATTCTCAAATCAATTGATGATTTATCCTAAGGACCTAGTCAATATGAGTGATTGTTCATTGCATTGTGTTTTGAACACTTTCTTGTGTAATCGAGGTACTGAGTGTAACATGCATGACAAACAAAATCTTCTCTGATGCCGCTGAAACACGCCAGTGCACTGATAGTTGTGTTTGGTTTGAAACAAATCTGGTTCATGGAAAAACTGTGAGGTGCTGAGGGAACTGAGGGTGTGTAATAAAACCATTCCCTCATTCGGTGTGTCTCTATTTCCTGATCTGAATTCTTTGATTTCAGATTTGTTTGACTTGTGTCCTATGGAATTTCGGCTATTATATCACTGGGATGACAGGGAACTGCACCTATTGTTGTACTTTTACGATCATATGGAAACTGTGAATAAAAAATCTCGACCAACAGTTTCATATCAAATGAATGAAATAGAATCCTAAGTTTGGAATCTGTTTGATAGTGGTATGATACAGAGTTGGCAGTAACAGGTCACTTGACTTGAACACCTCTTGTAATATCAATGCAGACTGAGTATGACTACATCGATTAGAGTACAAAGTAGTCTTCCGAATTCTTGGGACTAGCTGCCATCCTGGTTGTGCTTCTCCGCTCAGTAATTCTAGAGTTGATAGTAATTCTAAAGTAGAGTGTATATCAAGTAGACAAAATAGACTAACGTTTAGCACAAAAGAGTTGCTCAATGAAGGGTGTAACACTGCTCTGTCTCGTCCCCATCAACTGTATCCACATGAATCAACAAATATTTTTGTGAGGAAAACCCCACTTAGACAAGCATATCACATCTCCATAATCGAGAGTTCAGATATTAATGAACACGATTCTTTATACGCTTAAGATTATGGTCTTTTTATTCTGGCGAGGCATTTTGGCTTCGAAAGTGTCATGGAAATAAACGATTAGCCGTTCAGTTGTCAGTTTTGTCAATAATATCTTCCCAGACCTTACAATTCTTGTCCTGTGGCTGTTCTAGTTGCCTTGATTGCTTGAGAAAAATGTGCATATTTTTTCGCTACTTTTATTGAAGTAGGACCAGTTGGTCAAACCAAATGGTTCTGATCCTCAGAATACACCACAACAGGTTTGGTGGTATGCTTTACAGCGAACGAAGCCGGTATCTTGTCGGCACTTCAACAGTAGTGCACTGGAACCTCAACGATGTAGATTATACACTTATTTTACTGGACACCACTTTTGTTTCTGCTGCAAGTACAAGCAGACAACTGTACAAACCGGGTAGTGACCATACCAAAGAACTTATTCACCGAAACGTAGTTATATTAGACATTCCCAAAGTGATGGGGTGGCGCAAGATATCGACTCGTGGTTAAGTCGTTCAGTTAAAATAACCGAACAAATGGTCTATTCAACATTGTCGTATTTTGCCGGTCTCCTAGGTCGTGATGAAGGCGATATTCCTCCAAAACGTAAATAAACTCATCCGCCATCATTATACACTGGAGGGAACGTTTTTGCAGTTACAGTAAGACTTGGGCCACTCAAAGTATCCTGATAGTTTTGTGCTCTTTACATCGTCTTCTAAGTGGAAAGGGTACGATCATTATGACTCGATTTCATGTAGGTTGTAATACTTTCATGTTCTCTGTTATGAGCTTCTGATTGGTAACTGCTTCAGTTAAAATGCAATTATCCTTAGCAGACTTCATGGATAACCGTAGGAATTATGCACAACCTAATAAAGACTACTGTTATGTGGCCTGTTTGTTCTGTCGGAGGAGATGTTGTTTTTATACCGAAATGGAACCCGTTCAACGATAACCGATACCGACAGTAGACTTACATTTTGTAATAAATTTGAGCTGCTCGAAATTTTAATCCAACAAGTGCAACGCTCTTCAAATGATGAAGTCAAGAACACAGAATCAACCAGCTTATGTCTTAGCTACGGTTGCATCCGAGGTGAAATCTAATTAGGATCTGCTCATCTTTCTAGAGTTTCAGCCTTTTACTTTTGCTTTTGTGAAATAGAATAGCTACTCTCATGGGAGAGATTCATGTATACTGTTTTGCAGAAATCCACCAAAAAGAAGGAAGGAAATGCTAAGAATGGTACATTTTCCACTTTTTCTGGAGTTGGACCTACACGAAATCAAGGTTGCCATAGCAACGTACCTATGGCCGCTCTGAAGAGGTGGCTTCCTTTCTTGGGTACGTTTCTGCTTCAGAGTGACCGTCCATGTATTTCCATAACTCTTATATTTGTTGAACATTTTCTTGACTACGTCGACGTCTTCAATTCCAGTTGACACTTGAGAGGCGTTTTATTTAACTCAGATACGCCTCCTATCGTCTTTTCAACATTTAAGGCGTGTGAATATGTAAGAAGATTAAGAGAACGCTATTGGTCACTTATCGGATTGATATAAAATTCAGTAAACAGACTGGTGAACTTAAAGTCTTTCGAAACGTATTACTTACATTCTTTTGCAACAACAAGCATTAAATTATCAATATTTTTGAATAAACCAATAGATATCCTTCTACATTTTCCGAAATGTTGAAGTCTAACTTAAAGGTACTTTTTCTAAAGACATCACATACTGTGTCATAATCCTCAAAGAAAGCAACACAGTCTTCTTTCAACTGCGCGATGCTTTCCAAAAGTTCTGAACGGTATTTTGGTTGAATTTCGATTAACTCTTCGTGTGCTGTGGACATCAAGTGATTGAGTTTCTCCCACGAATATCGAAGAGTGTCGGCCTTCTCGAATTCGCCCTTGTCGACCGGGATCCGGTATTTAGATAGCAATGTGTAAGAATCTTCGATGGGTCCCAGTTTCCTGTCAATATCAACCTCCACATCACGAAGTTCCTGTAACGGCATCGTGCAAAAAAATTGTGAGCAGTGAACGGATTACACTCAATCAGTAGAACTACTGGATGCTTTGGTGTGCGGTATGCAAAATGAGCAGAGTGAAAACTGGAAATTTCAACTCATTATTATCGATTGTTTCGATACGGACGAAAAGGGTCTGTTCCGGAAATTAAGAAGTGGGTATAATTATGGGTCAATTCTCTATTTAGGTGATGCCTTTTTGTTCGAACTGGTACGGCCACTACAACAGTACAGTTAAGAACATGCCACTAACTGTGACGCGTATCCTTGAGCTCATCCCGACGTGTCATAATCAACATTGCGCGATTTTCACGGAAGCTCGCGAGCACCTTGTAGAGAGTAATTGTGGTCGAAAGGCTCCCCATGTTTTCATTGCGGAAGCAAAACAGGTGAATCTCGACAGTCAATGCTTAAGTCTTTCAATGGGCTGTAAATTTATGGGGACTGTTACGGCGACAAAAACCTGCTGTATAGTCTTTTTTGTCTTCAATATTGGGATCAATTAATGCTCCGTGTTTTCAGTAGATTTTTCTCCTAATACGTCTGGCCACCACCCCCTTGAAAATGTTGATCCCTACCATGTTTTGTTAAAAAACTGCAGTCAGTCAAGTACTCCAGGAGTACCATGACCACCCTGGACTGGCAATATAATAAGTTCTAAATAACCAGAATTATTCCCATTGGTTCGACGAGTTTTACTGGATAAGATACTGCAATATATCCAAGTGGCCTTGCTCTACGGGAGTAAGTGAAACCGTAACAGAGGAAACAGGGAAACATGACGGACCAACCAATAGAACGACCCACACGAACAGACACTCGCGATCGAAGGTCAGCCCAGGCTTGCAGACGAGTGTTAACACACGCGCAACACTACTCTACGCACAATCACTGACTCATTCCCCCACCAATCCCACAACACACTGATAACGCAACCCCATTAGTGATGGAATGTTCGCAATCGAAATGCCCAGCACTGTGAACAAATCGGTGACCATCCATGCTACCTAAACTACCAACATTTCCTTGGCAGACATACCTTAATGGCAACTACCAACATTCCCTTCAATGGAAAAACATTTCCTTGGCAGACATACCTTAATGGCAGTCATCATGATGCGAATATCATCCAAATCCTTGACTGGTCTCGTAAAAAGCTTCTCATATTTTTCAAAAAGCGCAAACAAATCAAACATTTGTTGGCCATAAAGCTGATTGCATGAACGACCATACTGTAGTTTCCATTGCTCCAGTTCAGCTATCAGTCCGGTTTTTAGATGTTCTGTGCCGATGGCCAAAGGACTGCATTCCACAATCTCCGGTTCATCTTCAACTTTTTTCATCTGACAAAAGGAGGCGACAGAACTAGATTATATTCTGTGCACCATGATAAATAGAGTTTAAACAAGATGCAAAAAACTGTCCCGCCAGTGAAGCGTGAATCATGCGTATTTGATGGATAGGAAAACTCTAACTCTGAACAAATAAAAACGCGAGATAATTGTAAAGCTAGGTACTTCTTGCAGTGATTGAACAGATTTTGAAAGTTAATCCACGACACTATCCTCGAAGTGAAGTAAACCGATGCCGAAAATCAGTTAAGGAGTTTAGAATGGTTTCACCCTTGTTGAGAAATATCAGCACTGTGCACCTCGCGAAATCATGAGGCATTTTACACGCACAGCTCTGGTGATGGCGAACAGTGTTCAACTGGGTCACCGCTGACTGCTCGGAAGTGTGATCAAACTATCCGCGCAGGTTGTCTTCATTCATCCTTCAATCACACATTTCACGTTACGTGGATTTATTCGTTCAGAATCATTTCTTTCTTGTGATGCCCACGAACACATGGGTGGTCTGACGCGTGTCTTTAAGTTTCAGCTTTGGTAACTTGAATATCGTGCTCAAAATGTGGGTGTCATATGGGCAAATGAAGAGTCCAATTAGATATGGTTTGAGAAGCTGCGACATGGGTCAGCAAGTCAGCAACCTATCACGTGATATATAGTGCGTGATTGGTAGGACGTGTGTTTTGTCCTTAACCTGTCGTGTAGCCTTCGTAATAACCTGCAGGATGCGTGTTCCAATATTCCTAGAGAGTCAATAGACATCGACTTCGGGTGCTTCCTGAAAGGTGGAAAGTATTATACTATAGTGACGGTCAGCTGTTCTCAGCAGATCTGTTCGCAAGGAGAATTAAATCGCAGGCCAAATTAGCTACTGGCTCATAGAAGACCCAGTGGACAAAGTACAGTGACACTCTTGTAAGACATCTGCTGACGGGACCGGTAGTAACGAGCTGGTACAAAGGGATGGGAGCTGTATTACTTGTCCCAGCTCGGCCTAGCATATTTCCCAAACGCGTTCTCTGTAATACAGAATTTCTAGGAAACGTACCAGAAGCGACCAAAAGAGAGGGAGGATTGCTGTCCACAGAAACCTGATGATAACATTTAAGCCATATTTTAAGTTTTGAAGATGGACACGAGGAAACGAGCTGGGTTTGACAACCACCAAGCAAACCTAGGAAAACTGAGTAGCAAGCACTTAGGATGTAGCTACCCAGTCACCCACACACTTGACTGCTCAACTCACAGTCGCTCACCGGATCACGAGACTTGTCTTTTTTCATACTCACAAACCACCTCACATTGAGGTGACTCATCGGACATCGACTGTTTGCACCGTCTAGTGGGTGTAGCAACAACACATCTGCAGACGTACCACGTACACGCAAACAGACCTACGTATAGGAAAACCGCACATTGTCAGCACATAGTCAGCACACAAACTCGCGCGCGCGCAGGGAGCAGGAAGCCAACCACTATCCACAAGTCCATTGGCAATTATGGAATACGTGTAGCAGCCATATTGCGGAGAAAGCACGTTCCCGCCGTCCGGACTTTCACCAAGAAACTCTCAGGCGATAAGTTCCTCTTTTGACTTGCTCCCATTTTGCATTGTATTTGTTTTTATACGTCTGGCATCTCACAATTGTCAACTATACTAAAAACTTTCATTGGTGCATATGCCTTCTGAATTGTATTATGGCCATCATTAACAGTGCACTGATAACTGGTGAGCCCGATGTGACTCACAACTGACGTAACCGACGTGAAGAACGACTCAACAGAGCTGCCCACGTCGCCCAACTAGGAGCAGAGCCGCTCAGGCCTCACGGCGCCTCACTCACGGATAGTCAGGGAATACGTGTGGCTGCTACACGTGTTCCATAATTGTCCATGGACTTGTGGAGAGTGGTTGACTTCCTGCTCCCTGCGCGCGCGCGATTCTGTGTGCTGACTGCGTTCGGTTTCCCTATACGCAGGTCTGTTTGCGTGTACATGGGTGCGCCTGCAGATGGGTTGTTGCTACGCCCACTAGACGGTACAGACAGTCGATGTCCGATGAGTCACCTCAATGTGAGGTGGTTTGTAAGTGAATAAAGACAAATCTCGTGATCTGGTGAGCGACTGTGAGCTGAACAGTCAAGTATGTGGGTGACCTTGTAGTTACAAGAGCCTATCTTGTATACTCCCATAACGTTGAGGTTGTCCAGAGATCAGAAAAATTCAATTCTTACGCGTAACCTGTAACAGTAGTTCGTAACAACAACAGCAACTCCTAATAAGGCACCAACGGCATGCGAAAACTTATTCTCTCATCACATTATGTAATAATAGTTGTGCTAACCAAAGCCACTTTCCTACTGGTCCCATCCTCAAAATGTAATGTTATAAGATGGTTTAAATGATGAAGAGCAAATTTCCACCTTACCTCTGCGTCGTATTTTGCGAAAATCATCTCATAGTCAAGAAGGCTGCACGCGGTTCCCTCGAAAGCTTTTATTTCCGTTTCACAAGTCTTTCTCCATAGATAGCTGTAGCGTTCGAAAGGCCGAAGCTGCTCATACACACCCTGAAATGTGGAAAATCTCCATTTTGCTTGTAAATTTGAGCAATCTATATCCAAAAAAATGCCACTGCGATGGAAATTCGGATTCAGAATCATGACATACTGACCATAGGAACAGACAAACCTTTTCCTACCAGAGGTAGTCCGGTGGGGCCTTGTTCTATGGTGCACGGATGTCACATAAATGCAGTTTAATTCCTTAGCATACGGAAGCAAACCCATTCCGGATAGTTCTTGGTTGGGTAAAACTAAACTATCGACGTATTCGGACAATGCGACTGTTGCTGAATAACCAAGCTGGTATGAGGACGAAAGAACGAAGGGTCCTTCTCTCCGCGAACATTCAGGAGTTCCAAACAGGCTTTTACTGCTGTAAATCTATCCCCATTAACTGCGCACCGTTGTCCAGTTGCCACCAAATTTGGTTGTTCGTGTTTTTAGTTCAAGTTCAAGCAGTTTTGTAATTGTGATTGTAATTGTGATCGCTACAAGAAAATCTATCATAGTGGGCAATATTATCTCATCGGTTATTTCGTTGCGTTAATATTACACTCTTCAAAAGTATACTCAACTACTCGCTCAAGAAATTCAAACATGTGATGAGTGGTATCTAGAAGACCAAGCAGGCAATATGGTGAGTTACAGTTTGGAAAAGTGGTTTTCAAATCTGCATAGCTTTTTCATTGAGACTGGCAAACAAACAGACATTGTTTTACACCCACTGAAAAGATGAAAAAATATGAAAAGATGAAGAATATTTGTTTCAACAGAGTGTGGTTATTATAGTACGAAAGTTTTTCAGAGTAGAAAGAAGCCTTACTAACATGAAGCGTTAGGATGACATGTGACTTGGCACCCCACGTTATGGCGCTCTATTTTCTCCTGAGACACATCTGTTGAAAATGTGCAGTTGCGAAGTGCATGTAGGCGAACGTTGCTGGGTTGCTTGCTACATAAGTCACATGTTAATGTAATAGGAGTTTTATTTTGGAGACGGTCCAGATGAAATGGTCATGCATAAATAATTTTGATGTGCTTTAATTCACTGACAAGTTCAGCGCTGCTGAGTCCTCGTTTGAAATTCCGAAAGGCATTACTCACAATCTGGTATACGACAAGAATTCATAGCTCAGCTTGAACTGGCTTTTTTCAAATAGGGAAAAAAGACCTGAATCTCCACAATCAATTGGTTTTGGACATTTGTTCAATAGCTGATCGAATGGCTGCTTAAACGCAATACAATACCCGCCTTTTACTTCAGAAGAAGAAAGCACACTCGCATCTTATGTTCTCCGTTGGAACGGAGTGCAGTTATTTCGCTCGGTTATCAAACAACTTCTAGAGTAGCTTTCAAGTTATCTCACTGGCTCTCCTTCCGAGACTGATATTTAGGACTTCTATTTTGAACTTTCTCCTGTTCCTTTTCCTTTATTGGTTAACTGTCAAAACAAGTCACGTTGGACTAACTTCTTTCTTGTGATCAGCATAGTTGGAAGAGATATTATTTCCTGTACACAAAAGAAAGTTATTTGAGACAAAAAGTCGAAATCGGAAGTAACTGTTCATTTCTCTGACGCTAATTTTCCACGCATTGCAATCAGTTAAATGATCCATTCATATTTTCTGTTACACCCAAACCGTTTCCTTACAAGCCTGTTCTGGTTAGCTGTATGAAACTCTCCAGGTCAGAGACACCGAAATATTCATTTTCTTGTCCAAATTCCTATTGGATGACTGGCTATATAATTTACACAACCACATACATTATTGTACAATGAAGTGCTAATACACATGATTGGGAATTTCGAATAATAAGCCTTTGCTACTGATGGCCTAAGATACGTTCAATGACTAGTTGATTGTGCTTGGCGTCCACCAACTCGGGCGGTTTTGGAGTTTCTTATCTGTTTCCCTGGTGTGCCCTTACATAATTTGCAATGTTAACCGAACTTTACATTGTGCGCTTATGTAAGCCACTAACTACGTCTATTTAGGCACTTCCGACCTCAACTCACCCACTCAAGGCGCACAGATGTAGGCGATTTGGCCGGTGACGAAATGTACATAAGCTGCTCGCCCAGCTGATGGAACAAATCAGTAAAGGGTAATATAACTGTAGGTCAGTGTCGCACCTTGGAATAGTAAATTGTCCTGATATGTTTATTCAATGGCTTCGAATAAAAAAACGTCGTCCAAGAAAGTTTGAGAATACTCCTGAGGACACCGAATTTACCGACACTTGTACAATAGTCTTGCAAATTCTTATCCTATTGCTTGCAATCGCCTGATTCGTGTTTCACATTAAATAACTTTGCATCTGGTCGGCTCCAGCCTTTCATTGTTACCATCCTCATTGAGGCTGCAGATGTACGAGGTGTCTTACAGGTTTTATCCTTGTTATGTTTGTCTGGTCAGTAAAACTATTAGGATGTTGCGGTCCGCTCAGGTGATATTTATCGTGTCTGGGCAGTTTAGTTGACCCAAGTGATCAACTGTAAACATTCTGGTAGACTCGATTTTTGACACAGCTTCCTTTTGTGTGCAGTGCTTCTTCAGAGAGAGAGATTTACTAATAAAGAAGTACTGAAAAATACTGCTATCATGAGCGGACACCTCACAATGGCCAATCATCACAGAATCAAAAAAATATATAAATATTGCATCAGGAAGATAGATGGAAACATTCAATGTTAGTATTCTTGCTGCATTATCCAGATTGACGAAGGGAAAAACCGTGCTAAATCCCTCAGAATATGTTTACTTTTCACGGGAAATTTACATGTCAGATGTCGGTACATGAGTGGTCAATGAACATAATGGAAACTTGGACTGTGATTGGAGGACAATGTAAAGTACAGCTTGTCCGCACTGCTGGACGGTGGAAACATTCAATGTTAGTATTCTTGCTGCATTATCCAGATTGACGAAGGGAAAAACCGTGCTAAATCCCTCAGAATATGTTTACTTTTCACGGGAAATTTACATGTCAGATGTCGGTACATGAGTGGTCAATGAACATAATGGAAACTTGGACTGTGATTGGAGGACAATGTAAAGTACAGCTTGTCCGCACTGCTGGACGGCAGAATGAAAGACCTGTGTAAGAAATTTTCACGGAGCAACAGATCAGTCGCCGACAGTTTGGTTTATCGCTGTCCAAGGTAGTCTATTCGACGACAAAGCAACAGGATTCAAAAACACATTCTGAGAACGTTAACATTTGGGTGCGATTTATGCGAAGCGGATTTCTCCCTTATGAAGGTCATTAATATTTGCAGTTGAACAACGAAACACGTCTAACCTAATAGTATGACCGTAATAACTATCGCGACGGTGCTGAGACTATAAAATCTGGACTATTTACGTTCCATATCCAACCTCCATTCCTGAATTAAGATAGTGGATGTACGGGATCGTATATCTGTTTGTTGATAATCTCACAAAAATATCTGAGAAATATTGGTCACGTTCCGCTTTTTCGCTTAAACTGTGTTCGGAATTCCCCACAATAACCAGGATTCAAAGTCCAGTTTCTTTTGGTCAGAGACAGATGAATCAATGCTTTGAGAATTCCTGGGAATGTAGGTATTTTTGCAACCAACCTTTTGTGCTGAGCTGAAAACAGATGTCAGCATAGCTCGGAGCTTGATCATTTCCTTGTTCTCTGAAACCTTTTTGAAATATGTTTGAGAATCATCGTAAGATTGGTCAGCCTGGACACCAAGTGTTGATTTTCGGTGGACTGCTTCGTTGGCGTCGAAGGCGTTGGTAGACCGCCGCCGAGGATGATTCTCCTCACCGTCATTATTTTCCGTTTTTTCACTGATAACCTGTTACATGAATCGGAAATTAAAATAACTGAAAAATATTACATACGTGCTTTTAAGTTAGGAAGTAGATGTGATCCGGTTCGAGAACGGGGCAAATTATGAGGAACGCGATGCACTCATCACGAAAATAGTAGCATAAATTTGTCCACGGTCAGAAACGCACAAGTCACCTGACAAGCGCTCAACGTTCACTTTCGAACGAATCATCAGAAATGAGTATGCAAATGTGCCAGACAAACGACCACGAGTTTGGACGAAGAGCAAGTGTAGATATAGCAGTGGGGACTAAAATGACAATGTCCTTCTGTAAAAGTATACGTAGATACGCCAACGTCAATCTTAACAATAGGACGATAGGACTTGTGAAGTGTCATTGGTAGCCTGTGGATGGTGGACATGGTAGATCTCTTTGAATATCGCTATGGCTATGTTACATTAATTCCAGTCACTCTGTATTAAACTCCATCCCATTCGGCAGGTCTTAGATCTTCTTATCACAGCGTCCAATAACCTAAACAGGATTAAACAAAGAGCTGTTATCTGAAAATGATCACTGATCGGGACAAAATCAGGATTGGATTTCCTGTTAGTTGCTTTATACAAACCACGGAAGCCGTATGAACTCTGCGAGACATTTTTGGGACAAAATGGGCTGCTTTTAATTGTCTAAGGAAGCCTCCAATATATCCTTGAGAGTTCCACTTTTAGCCATACGATGAATGAAATCATAAGAGTACGCAGCTCCCAGCACGACTTCCTTTCAAGGGATGCTGTCAGCGCTCATCCACCAGATATTCTCTTCTAGCGGAAGATTTAATCTTTCCTACGGACCAATGACTACTGGATTATACGATACAGTACTTTTATGTCGTACGTCCTTAAAAAGTAAAAAAACTTGGAAAGTTGTGGCCTGCAAACTAGGTCACACGGTCTTTCGGTATGCCCCAACACAGACAGGAGGTTCTTTTAACGAAATAACGGGGTCCAGTTGCTGACAGTCCAATCCCTCCTTCCCCATGCTGGGGTTGAGATAGAGGGCTCTCAGGCCAATGTCTAAAACAGAAACAAACGTTTGGCATTTTCTTCAAACTCAGACGTAGAAACAAACGTTTGGCATTTTCTTCAAACAGTTATATGGTGATGGCTGACGAGTTGTGTTGTTTTTAGGTCTGTCTACTTGAGTTTCGTTTCGCCACTAGCAGCTTGTGACAAAACTG